AGCCTACCTCACTACGAGGTCAGAACACACTATCAGCACTTGTAGAACTAATTAAGAATTTTATTTAAATTCAAACTTCAAATCAACATCATGAAGCGGTTTTCATGAAGGCCACATGATGCAGATAACAGCTCCACAAAAAGTAAAAAGTGGATCTTGAATTAAGATTATTTGTCAAACTCGTATTTCAAAGGTCAACGTCTTCTGTTTTGTATTTAGTGGAACAAATACCTGAAATAAATGAAATGCATTGGCTTTTGGTGACTTGTTGACAGTGATACTTGCAAAATGAATAGGATATTTATGGCATTGTTTTCATGAAAAATGTATTACGCATTAGCTAAACTGCATGCACGCCATCTCATATTTAGCAGCTCGTCTGTGCTTTTCAGTAAAATGTTTGATATACTGATGTTTATTGTCAGTATACTGGTTAGAGTTTACTAGTAGGTTAAATTTTGGAGAAACAGGGTTGTCCCTGAATAGTCCTGGCTCAGCTACAATACAAGTGTCGTAAGTAAGGGCTTGATAAGATCTACTTTCCTCTGCTGCAGGTTTGGCTTATCTTGTCAGGTCAGAGGCTCCTGCTGTTTTCCAAAATCTAATGTCAATTTTAAAACAGCTAATCCACCATTTAAACAACAAACTGAAAATTAGTATATTTTTCCTAACTTTATATGGTCACACTGATGGACAGTGTGAAGAACTTTAAACTTGATAAGTTTTCAAGTTTAAAGTTATTTTTATAGTAAAACCAACAGACTCAGCCAGATAGCAGTTAAGATGATTTTTACTTTTTATAACTGAGCTCAAGTGTTGGAGCATGGTAAAAGTCAATAAAAAGACAAATGCTGCCCACAATTGCATGTAATAAGTATGTTTATTTGAGCCACCTATTTGATGTAAATACTACATTCCTCCAGTCAATAATTAAGTTTCTGAAATATTCTCAGCTCCAGAAGAAGGCAAAGTGATTCACTTCATGTCCCCTACAGTGTGTTAGCTCTGTATTTTTAGCTCCAGCTCAGCTGTCATATCTCTCTACAAGTTATCCCTGACTTACCTTTGACTTTCCCAGGACTAACATCAACCACTCCAAACCACATACCTCTCTGCCCCAGGTGTACCGTGTGTTTGTGTGCGCGCGCGTGTGTGTGTGTTCAAACACTGTAGCGCTTTGGTGTGCTTTGCATGTACTTGTGTGAACATGCCTGTACATATAACTGAGTAATCAAAACGATTCCACAGAATTACAAGTGTCAAGAAAAAATTGTACTGTAATTATCAACTGTATCTAATATTACAGTAAATAGCAGTATAGTTTATACAGTAATAAAAGCATGTAACAGAGAAAAAGAATTTTAATAGAGAGAATAAACTTTGTACTGTAGGAAATAGGAAAAAGCTTTCTGTGTCAGGAGGGAGAGAGAGAGACTTCAACTGAAAGGGAGGGAGGCGGGAATACTGTGCCAGCCCACAGACGAATGAGTCATAACACAGATTGAGCCTGAGGGAGCCAGAGAAGCTAGTCAAGTTTCAGCTTGTGCAGATACAGCACTGTGTCTTCTGCTGTACCATCCGAACTGTACAGAGAAATTACACGGAGTGTGAGATTAACAGCTCACATTTGCATCGCTGAGATCACAGTGAGTATTGTTGCACTCTTTTCTGCTCTGTAGCTGTGTGAAGGAGCTGCTCTGTGACTGGAACTCCTATTGTTCATGTTGTATTGTTCCCACTGGTGTGTGTATGTCTTGTTTTGCTCTGTCTGGTACGCTTGGATTCTATTCTTGGATTCTTGTAACTGTTGTTACAGTAATTCAGTGCGCTTGTCCTCTCATTTCCTGGAAAAATCCTCCCTGACAGGTCTACCCTCTCAGACTGCAAAGGTAGAGAGCAGTGATTTTGCACAAAGCAGCATTGAGTTTTCTGAGACTGGTTGTAATTGTAGGACTTACAGGACTATTACTATTACAGGACTATTGAGTCATTGGGAGTGGATGAGTTGGCATAAGTTAATGATTTGTCAGCATATTATTTCTTTCTGCCGCTCACTGTGGTATAACAGTTTGGTTTGAGTCTATAAAACTGTCAGCTATAAAAAAAGAACAGCAGGAAAACAAATAGCTGACAACTGACAGTTTTATTGTTGGTAGGGGCTAAACTGATACACAACACATGGTTCAAGATGTACCAGAGTTTTGGGGGTTACATAGAGAATAACTAGAGTTACATTCCACATACACATACAGTCACCTTCACACTGTAATTATTGCTGTTGGAGTGAAGCATTTGAAAAAAATATTTCTTTGGCATTTGCTAGGGCCCGAGGGTGGGTTTTAGGAAGCCGATGCCGTAATTAAAGTGAAAAAGAGCCAATATTGATTTTGAAAATTATTTGGACCCCTTTCCTGAATAAACTACACTTAGAACAGGAACAATATTGAAAGCTGTTCTGTATGTGGGTTAAAATACCTTTCCTAAATAGATTATGTTAATTTAATAGATTTACAATGTCAACAACTTAACATGTAAACATCCATCGTCAACCGCTTATCCTGTGTACAGGGTCGGGCGAAATGCGGGGTATACCCAGGACAGGTCGCCAGTCCATTGCAGGGTCACAAATAGACAGACAACTACTCACACAAATTTAGGGTCACCAATCAACCTAGTCCACATGTCTTTGGATGGTGGGAAGAAGCCGGAGTACCCGGAGAGAACATGCAAACTCCATGAAATACGGTAGACTGTGTCTCGATATTACACAATATGGCTCCTCCACCACTCCTACTTACATCACATTAAAAACCGGCCCAACAACTAGAGGAGATATGGCCAATCTACTTTTTCTGTCAGAGCCTCTCAGGATTGGAACAATTTACAGCAACACATAAACTGTGCCAACATTAAGAGCTTGGTTTATTAGAAATAAAAAGTGTGAACCAGCGTTTCCCATAAGTTCATTTATTTATGGCGGCCCACCACAATATCAACTCTGACGCCACATATAGATTTTTGATTTTTTTACTAGGCCTATTTAAAATCGTATTTGATTCCAGAGCGCCGTAGCGCATACATCCTCTTGCTTGTCCTTCTCGCTCACCCGTCCCTCATTTTCTCACTCTCTCGCTCGCTCTCCTCTCCCTCATGAACACAGCTGCACACATCTGTCCAGCAGAACGCTGTTAATGTTGGAGACCCAGCTTTAAAAAGTTATTAATTTGTAAGGAGCCTAGCTAATAAGGAGAGCTAAGTAAGTCGACTGCACACGCAGCTGCTTATCATAGGCTCTGTACATACTGCTATTATGCTATTTGTTAATTGTGTGTGTCATAAGAGTGTTTTTTTTATGTAGCACAGACTCTGTATCTACATATTTAGGTTTTATCGTTGATTGTATTTTCAGTGCTTTTATTCTTTACGTTTGTACTCTTTGTACTATTGCCTGCTGGAGACTACAGATGAAAATGATCCTTTTTGACTAACTCTAGCATATTTTCAGAAATGCTATGCACTGTCACCGCCATGGAGAGTCAGGAGGAAAGTAGCCACTGCGTAAAAACCTTGGTTTGTTTCATTCAGTGCGTCCCGAGTATGTGGAAATCGTATGTACCTGCCTGAGATTGCACTAAGTACAACACACCTGAAAAACAGCTTTGGGAAACCTCAGCAGAAACGTACAGTATGCTGGAATGACCCAGATGCGAGGAAATGCCAGCAGATCATGCTTCATCCAGCCAGAGGGAATAATCACCGACCGTCCACACCGTGCCCGGTTGCTCCGTGATCTCCTGTCCCTGTACAGCTCAACGCCCCATTCCCTCTCCGATACCTACAATGGGTTGTGTCGCTATTACGACTGGCGCGCTGTGAACAGTTGGTGATCGTTCCCTCTGGCTGGATAAATTTTACGCGTGATCCATGCACTACTGCGGTTGGGGGCTCTTCGCAGTGCCACGCAACTTTCTAAATTTTTCCATCTCATGGAGAAAAGAAGTCAGGTCGAAACATAATTTGCTTTATTGGCGTGAAATTTAATACAACAGTATTGCCAAAGCTAAAGGAAAATACAAAAAATAACTATTCTATTCATATAGTTCATCGAATAAATAATTGTATTTCAATACGTTGGATATAGAAAATATCTCATATTAATTTCTCTACGTCTTCTTTCATTACGGCTGTGTCTCCTTCTGCCAATGATAACAGCAGCCATCTCTGCGCAACACTTGGTGGTTTGCACCTTCCTTTCAAACATATTAAATACAGATGCTGTTGCACTCATGTGAAATTGCGTTTTGGCTTGTTGGATCACAATGCGTGTAGTAAATAAATATATTTGCATGTTACCCTCCCATTACTTTGCACAATAACAGCCCCAAACTGCATATTCATTAAGGCAAGTAATAAATGAACAACAGGTGCTATCTTGCACTTTTGAAAGACGTCATTCTGCATGCACACCATTAGTAGATCAGCTTACGTGTTAATTTGCTGGTGATATCAAGTTTGCACACGTTTTTAAACGGGCAAAACTTTAAACGTAAATGCGGCCCTAAATCTTTTCCAAGTCTTTTCTATCCTGTCTGTCTGTGCTTCTTGTGCTATGCCTATAAGGTTTTGTTTAGATAGGTTAAACCTCTGTTGTTTATTGTCCTAGCTATATTGTTTTTTGACCATGTCCAAAAATGTATGCCATTGCTATTATACATTGTTACAGTTTGGCTTGTGTGTGTTGGTGCTGATGTTGATATTGACCAACTGTGTTTGTTTTTATGTTGATCTAGTCAATTTTTACTTATATTGGGCTTGACCTGTATTACTGTACTATTTTAATCCTTTTATCTTTTTAGGTGTGACCTATTACTATCTGTCCAGGGACAGCAGGCTAGTTCTGCACATTATACATTGATTTATGTATTAGTGTGCATTGTCCCTGTTAAATAAACTTGAAATAAATGAAAATCAGACATATTATATTTTTCTGTCTCACACAGGCTTTTGGGATGCTCCGTTGTGCCACAGGAGGAAGGGCTCAGTCTCCTTGGCAGGAATAGCTGCTCCCAACAGACCACTTCCGCCTGTCTCTTTGGCAACCACCCCAGGACGCCCTCGGCTTCGAACTCGCACCCCATCTGAGCTGCTTGAGTGTTGGCACTCCAACGGAGCACTTTGTTTCATCAACCCCCTCTTCATAAAGGTTCACCAACAAGACGGTGACGACAGCACCACTTCAAATCTCTCTAGCACAAGAAATCAAGGCCTGAGGGAGGAACCCATTAGCAACAGCCTGGAAACGACCAACCAGGACACTCGGTGCTCTTGTAGAGACAGTCCTCAGGTCTGTAGCGCTGATCACAGTGACAGCAGCCTGTCAGGTCAAAGCAATCTGCAGAGCCTTGGCAGAAACACAGAGTTACAAGACAGTAACATTGATACCAGCAGCAGCAATCAGAAGCTGAGTACTGCAGACAGTGTGTCAAGCCCCCCACCTCCTCGTCCACCCCCACCTCGCTTTGTGGCACAACACTCAGCCCCTCCCGTCCGACAGCGCAGAATGCCAGAGAAGATCTCTTGGATCAATGTCCCAAAGGAGAAGGTAGAGGAGAGGGCCAGCCTCCTTTTTCATCTGGGCTCCTCACTAAGCATCAGCCCCTCATCCTCCCCTCCCAAAAGACTCAGCATCAGTACTCCCATATCCATTCCTTGTCAATCCCTGCCCATCTCTCTATCATCTCTCTCATCCTCTCCCGGTCAGACCAGGGCCTCACCATCCTCCAGTCAGGAAGATGCCCAGTGCCACTTGGCACTGGAGGACCACAATATTGAGAAAGCCCTCATTAGGGCCAAACTGCGTAAAACTACCAGGGTCCCCGCCCAGGACTCCAGCAGTCCTCCAGACCTGTCACTGATGACTACAAGAAAGCATGCAGAAAGGACAGGAGAAGAAGCAGGTGAGGAATGCAGTAGCGGAGGTCAGAGGCTAAGTGACATGAGCCTTTCCACAGATTCCTCAGACTCTCTGGATCTGTCTCAGTCTTCAGCCTTCTTCCTTCCTCCTTTACATGACCCTAGTCCCCCCACTGTGGCTGATTTTAACACCCACCTCCCCTTCTCCCTCCCACCATCCCAACTGCCTTACTGCAGCATGGAGGAGGATGAGGTTGACGAGGATGACGAGGACGAAGAGGAGCCTGACAATGGCGTCAGCCTCGAGAGTGACCAGGACCTCACCATGATGCCACCGGGCCACCATACAAAGCGTCGCTCTAGTGCCAGTGCTCTGATCCTGCAGAAGGCCCTGCGAGGGCACCTGCACAAGATGAGTGGGGTTTTCAACTCGCTGCTAACGCCCGAGAAGAGGGCGATCCGCAGGGTGGTAGAGTTGTCCAGCGATAAAGGCTCATACTTTGGCTGCCTGGTGCAGGACTTCCTGAGCTACATGGGCGAGGGTGCGGGCACCCAGGCCTGGCAGAGCTATGCATCTGGACTGGAGCTTCTGCAGACTCTCCGCCAGTTTATCACTCAGATGAAGAGCTACCTGCAACAGAGCTCTGAGCTGGAGCCGCCAATTGAGAGCCTCATTCCTGAAGACCAGATAGGTGAGTACCAAATTAAATAGTTCCACCATCTTTTCCTCTAGCTGCAGTGGCTTGTGCACTGCAAATGTGGAAACAAGGTCAGCCATGCTTTAAATATAGTTATTGTGGGTGTATGTTGTGTGCCTAAAGGTTTGGTCAGTTGTTCACAGTTGACATGCTGGGACTGCTCGATTGCATTATGACCTTGTCCTCAAGTCAACAGGGAGGGAGGTTTATTTTTGGGAAGTATGAATGAGTTATGTATTTATGGAGAAATCTACATTTTTATGGTCACAGAAAGCAATTTTAATGCAGACGCAGCAGTTTCACTTTGATATTTTAGTAATGAGGACATTGGAAAACTTGTGCTCACGTGTTTGCAGCTGGATATGTATATTCAGTGGTAGGTAGGGGCGGTTGTGACTCAGGAGGTAGAGCGGGTTTGCCCGTTAATCGGAAGGTTGGCGGTTCAATCCCCATGTCAAAGTATCCTTGGGCAAGATACTGAACTGAATTGCCTCTGGTGTTCCACCAGTGTACGAATGTGTGTGAATGTTAGTTTCTGTTGAGCACAGGCTCAGTGAATGAATGTATGTGAAAGTGCTTTGAGTGGATCGAAAAAAGACTAGAAAGGCGCTATACAAATACAGAGCATTTACATTTGGTAAGTCAGTATTCATTTGAAAAACAAAGTAAGGACCGGTGAACAATCCAATCAGTATTACCTTTTGAAACTGAGCGCAAATATCCTGTAATCCAATATTAATATTTGCATTTCCATCTTTTTACCCTTTATTATATCCCTCCTTTATTGCATCTTACAATGCCATGACACAACCACACAGATACATACGAGTACACACACACCTACTGAAATAGTTTCTGAATCATTTAGATCAAGATTTAGTTTGCTGCATTAGACCATGGACAGAGTAGCATGTGAACAAAGAACACAAAGAGCGTTTTATCTCGAAAGGAAGGGGGTGGTTGTACAACCTGTTTCTACTGGCCCCATTTTAATGGCTCACCAGAGGGCTATAATTATGAGGTCATGAATTGGGTGAAAAACTTTGATTAGTAATCATCACATAACATGAACACTAATCTTGAATGCTGACATCTTAAATTTTCATGTTTTTATTGTTTTACATGTAACACTAAGAAGCAGTTCTGATCTCTGTCGCGGGAAATTATATTCCTGGTGAGGAATTAAGCAAATAATTGAGTTACAACCAACTGTTGTCTCTGAAGATTTTATTAATAAAAGAGAATAAACAGAAGTACTACAACACACATACTGCTGGTCCAGAGACCTGCCGCCTAGGGCAGCTTCGGGCGTCTGGCCCCGAGCAAAGGGATGCATCATCATTTACACAGTCTAGGTTTCTATGTTTTGGGGAACAGAGATCCTCTCTCAGCCTTGAATGAACATTCCAGGAGAGTAGAGGAACAACAAGAGGGGAAAACACCAAAACAATCTCACAGCTCTGACCTAAACCCGCGTAAATGTGGATGGACTAACATAAGGAGTATAGGAGAAGGAATGTTTAAGGATAAAAACACAATAAATATATCTAAGACATAACAATGATAGTAGTAGTAATAATAATAGTAAAAGAACATACATAAAAGATTACAAGAGGACACAATTTTCTGCCATAACAATCCTCCCTCTGGCCATATACATACATATACAGACATCCAAATACAGAAAATTGACAATAGAAAATTAGCCTTAGCTAATTTTGCAGAACATAGACATTGTTAAGTTATGAATAAGCAGGAGAACATATTTGTATTTGTACTCATCCTGGATAAGAACCTTGGCTATCAAATATGTATCGCGATTTATGGTGTGGTATCTGTAAAGTACCTCAAAGGAGGGGTGTAAGGTTTGCTCCACTCAAAGTGCTGTTTCGGAAGTTTTGACCATAAAAACTACTACCTCTGAAGTTGAGATAAAGGACAATAACTTTCTCTTTCCTTTTATCAAATGCTTGAAACTAAGAACTGTATAATTGTTTATGACATTTAAGAATTGATTGTGGAAAGGTATTAGATTAAAACATGCACCAAATAGGCTTTAAGACCATATTAAAAATTAAGACACAGAAATCAGAGGTGACCTAAAAGCCCTTCCCCTGGAGACACGCCCCAGGTAACACAAACACAGCGCCTTGAGCTCTAGTCCGCTATCTCATGCTCCGCTCTCTGCTCCTCATGCCTGCTCCCCAGGCGTCTCGCTCCTAGCAACGCCAGCAATCAAGAGTTCGGCCCGGAAATACCTCCAAGACTCTTAAATGTGTCTTTTGTCTCAAAGCAACGTACTTAGCCAATATTCACATGGTTCTGCGAACCTTCGGGAATGTACCTTTTCTTTGTTTTGTTATTAGACCGTTTAAATCACGCAACTTTGAATTTAGAAACAACCGAGTTTCTTTTAAAGCTTTATATCTGTCGAATTAACTTCCGCTACTCCCACCGAAGTTCAGACTCAGCCACGTGGTTAGTCACGCCAGCTGTAACACCACGGACATCAAAAGCGAACAAAGCCAGGCCAACGCCCTACCACTGTTAGTTTTCCACAACCACCAGCCAGCCAAAGGACTCCCCATCGGCCCAAAAACCCACTCGAGAGGCCGTGTGGCGTGCCAAGCCACGGAGGCCCTGAACACAAAGAACGAGCCGACAGTGAGCCTTTGTCATCCAGATGGTGGGATAAACAACACGCAGTAAGCCAAAACCAAAATCCTGCATTCTGTGGCCAGTTGATGTCTAGCTGTAATCCTTTAGCTTTAGTCTTTTAGTCCTAAAACTCCTAGCCAGATTGAATTTATCATATAACTCGCGTTCATTAGTTCTCTTACTCCCTTAGAATTAAATTCTTTGCCACAATAGACCAACTAAATTCACATTCACCTCTATTACTCTAATTGATTGCATTCTGATTGTTTAATCATTATTGTTTTGTCTTTTGATATATTTAACCTCACTTTGTATTCACTTTAGTTAGTTAATAAATTTCACCTTAATCACGGGAACTGTGTGTGTGTGTGTGTACTGCTAGCTCCAGGTCACTGGATGGAGAATTCACCTTTCGATTTGAGACTGACTGACTGACTGATTAAACTGATTTAAAATGACTAGCAATTACTAATGGACAGGTACCCACCTGTCACTCAAGCAGCCACGTCAGGTGCCTAGCCACTATGTTTTTTGAGCAATCGCACCCAATTTGGTGCAGAACATCTCTGACCAAGCCAGAAAAGGTTACTCTTTTCAGATTTTTGTTTTATATTCCATACAGTTTTGCCCTCAAAGTTTGCTCAAATGGTGTGGGCATGGCTTATAAAACAATGTCACGTCTCCTAAATGTGCTATTTCAACCACTTTTGGTGGATATAAAATACTATACATATGTCTGAGTGATCATGGCATTGGCGTTTGGTGCCATTTGGCCAACAGGTGGCGTTGTAGCAGAAGCATCTAACTATAAAGGAAGGAATCTCTATCTATGTGTGTATGACTGTCCGCATATCTCGTTGATCAGGTGAGTGGTTCTCGAGAACAGTGCAAGCAGCACTTCCAGTGGCCAAGCAACAGCCTCTTCCCAAATGGGAACTGCAGTAGTTTTTATTGATCTGTTATTGTAAACTTCTCAGCCTGGGAAAGTGGTTCTGTATGTCTTCTGTGGCTCTGCAGAGAGCTGTCCAAAGTCTGTGTAAGAAATCCTCTGGTGCACAGGAAGTGATGCTTTTTATGGCAACACAGTTTGGGATTTTTGAATAATTATTCAAACTGAGTAGGTGTACAAATTAATGTATACCTATGGCAATGGAGCGATGGATAAGACACATGGTGTAGGAGACACGGGTTTGATTCCCACTGCGACATCCACCAATGTGTCCCTGAGCAAGACACTTAACCCCTAGTTGCTCCAGTGGCATGCAACCTCTGACATATAGCAGTTGTAAGTCGCTTTGGATAAAAGTATTATTATTAATTAATTAATATTCTAAATGACTAATTATTATTATAGAGACTTAAACACAAGTCATTGACCACTTATATAAATTGTTTTTTCCATATTTAGATAAAATAGGCCCAGGTGTTTTCTCCTGACTGCTGGCCATCAAATAAAGCATTAAAATCTCCAAATAATAATGAAAAAACCCAGAGATTATCAAAAATTAATGTTTTAGGCTTGAATGACACAATGTCTGAATGGAAAAAAAACAAAGACAAAAATGTATTGTTTGTATGTTGCAACTTGTGCCTGAATTCCTGGTATAGTAAGTATTTTTCACAATGATGACACACTGGGTACTGCTGTGGTTTTAGTTCTTGGAATAGTTGCACAATATTTTGTTGTGAAAGCTTCAGAGTGTTTTCTGCTCAACTCAAAGGCTGGACGGCCCAGATGCACTGGGTGACGACCGTCTGCCAATTCGTCCAATCTCTGTCTTACCCCGACTCCCGTTCTGTAGTTCTTTTAAACTAACTCTCCAATCAGTGAGAGGATTTGAGGCAAGCCCCCTCTACTTGCTGTCTTTCTCTGACACTGTCTTTGCATTTTGTCTTGGTTTCTGTGTTTCATTTTCTCTCTCTCTTTTTCTTGCCTCCAAATCTAGTCTTCCACTCTCATTGCTTCAAAGTAACATGCTGACATAGTAGCAAAGAAAACAACGAATGTGCAGAAATGAAGGGAACACATCACATTAAGGTATCCATGTTGATGCAAAGAAAGGAAATCTGTGATTTTCAGAGGAGACAATCAGAGTTTCAGAAATGGAAGATGCTGTTGTTGTTCCTGTCTAGCGCTCAATCAGCAACCTAGCCGTGTGTGTTTGGTTTCAGGGTGTTCAGGCGGGGTGAGGTCGCAGAATAGAGTTCCTTGTATTCCTCTCATCCCACACTGCAAGGCTGTTCTTCAGCGGATAGCCTGAGTCAGCCTGACATGAAGCTCTGTTTGGGGTGCTTCACAAAGTGTTCATGTGTTACAAGAACATCAACAACTGGGGCTTTGCTTTTTATGTGTTATAATGTCTTAGGTATTAGTTTCAGTCAAACTTTCTTCTGACAACCCAGGAAAAACTCGAGCAAAGTCTGCTGAATTTCACATCACTTCCTTTCCCATCAAGGCTCATTGGCATCAGTGAACTCAGTGTAGTATAGGCCTGTACTTAATAATTATTATTGGTTTAATTAAGAGTACCCTCATTAGTATTTCTGCCTATTTAAAGATACCAGCCTTTCTCCAGTGTTGTAAACACACACTGCCAAATTCTGTTTAGAGGACATGCATGGGCAAAATGATGACGTACATATATTTAAATATGAGATAATATGAATTTTAACCATTAGAGATTTTGTCATTCTATTTATTCTGCTATCTTTGTATATCTCTACTCTAGATGTATTCGATAATTGTGTGAAATGTTATCTATCAATGAGCAGGACTGTTTTATGTTAAACTTGGATTGTATAA